TTAAGTCACCTCTAGCAATATTTTTTTTCATGTAGAAGCTTGTGACATAAACCTTAGTGTTTTAAAGATTTTTTTAATATTCATCAGAGATCAGATTTCTAGGAAAGCGGCATGCAAGGAGCTGTCACTCATAATACAAATTTTTAAGATAGAGTAGTCTGTTTTCCTAAGATATAATTTTTGATTCCCATTAGACACCAGAAGACTAAAATAATTTATCTTTAACTTGCTAAGGGACGTTTTAAATTTCAGTGAGCAACAGTATTATATTACCACGAACCATTTAAATAAGTTTATTTCAAGGAGATAATACATAACTAGCCTGCCTGGTTAAAAATCTGAAACAAAACAATTTGTTTCTGTCATCTGGTAGTGCCTTAATTATGAAAAATAGCCTTCTAAAGTTTTCAATAATCCATGATAGAGTTTAAGGGTGATGTTGACTTTATCCTGTCACAGTGCACCTTATGCTCTGAAATTCTTTGAAAACCAGTATTTCAGTGTGTAGTATTTTCGTAGGGCATGGTGCCTAATAATTTTACCTGAAATATCTAGGTATAATAAGGAAGGCAGTTTACCTGCCATACTTTTAATTGAAACATTAAATGATGGACTGATTTGACTATATGTTTTCAGGAAAGAGCGACTCAGGGAATTTGGAATGAGGATAGGGAAAATTAAGAATCTTCCTTATTAGTAAGAGGAGTTATGATTTAACTCTCACTCTCTGAAATTGCCCATTCTCACCTAGTTTTAACATGGGGAAGGCTTTAAATTGTGGGAACTTGTATCCGAACATATTAATAGATTATCATATGTAATAAGTCAGAGCATTGGCCAAGCGGGATCTGGATCTTCTTGACACTGAGGATTTGAGGGTGGTGAATTTGCTCACTTGGTTATGGTGTATATGTTTCTCTAATATTTAGTACAGAGAAGGTCTTCAGAATAATTGTTGAAGGTCTGGGATGTGGGTCCTTATGCTAATCCTGAACCCAGAGATCTTTCTGACAGGGGCTTAGTCAAAAGAGAAGGGATTCAGCTGAGGCTCCTGCCTGTCCTATTTAATTCTAGCTCTTTAAGGATTCAAGTGTTTTATTTTAAAATAAAATGTCTCCTAATTTTCTTTTGGCACTGTGTTCATGTGCTTCTCTATGATAATAATTTTATAATAGTAAGAAGAAATCAAAACAGTCAATATGAGTTACCTTTTATTCCTTGTAATTGTTTATCATATTCTGGATAGATTTTTAGTGATTCTGTGACTTGATTCACTCTATTGCACACTGATTTAGTTTAATACTGCTGTACATAATATGTATTTTATGTAGCAGAAAATGTTGGTGTAAGTAAATATGACATGAAGAATTGCTGCTGTATTCAATTATGAGATTTCTCAAGCTTAGTATCACTTCTGAGTCAAATAACTCTTGGAGTAGCTAAACAAAAATCCAAAATAAAATGATTGCTATTTTCTAAAGGAAAATGTGAGGCACTAGGACTAGAAAATAAGTTAGATGGTAATAAAATTAACTACTCTATTGTCTATTTTAACATCATTTTGCAATATAGAAGTACTATGTTGACCAAGTTTATAGTTACAATTTCTCTGAATTGGGATTTTTTGTGTGTGTGTGCAAAATTATCCTCAATGAAATGACCATCTGAACGTTTCTGTTAGGTGTGATAAGGAAATAATGAAACATATGTGCAACTAATAAAAAGTATGGGTCTTGTGAATACAAGAGCATATTAAGACAAGTGAGGTTAAAAAAAAAATGCCCTTGAGCCTCAAGCCGAATCACATTTACTGGTAGAGAAGAAATATAGTTGTATGGCATCAGTTGTTAGAAGTTGCACATTTCATTAATGTTTCTTGTTCTGAGAATATTTATTTGAGTCACTACTTTATTAATTTATGATTTTCTATAAAAGCACATTTCTTCAAATATATGTGTGTATACCATGCAACAAATGAGCATTACATTAAGAAACTCTTTTGTTTAAAATATTTTATTTATTATTTTTATTTTGTGTGTATGTGTGTATAGCCTGCATGTAGACAAGTGCATCCCTGTTGTGCACTGCCGGCGGAAGACAGAAGAGGCTGTCGGATCCCCTGGAACTGGAGTAATGGACAGTTGTTAGCTGCCATGTGGGTGCTGGGATTCGAATCCCGGTCTTCTGCAAGAAGAGTCCGTGTTCTTAACCACTGAGCCATCTCTCCAGCCCTGAAAGAACTCTTTTAACATAGAAAATATTGCATACTCTGTTACAAGAAGAAGTATGGATTAAATTTTATGACTAATTTAGTATGGTGTAGCTGTATGTATTTATATTTATTTTTATAGCACACATATATCTCAGTTTAATGTACACTGGTAAAGTATATACACACCCCATTTTCATTTTCCTTCAGTTCTAAAATATTAATTAGAATTATATGTTGTCCCAAACCCAGAATACCTGGAACTAATTCATAACATTTAAATAAATTTTGGATTAATCACTTTTAGTAAGAGCTTTAGAAAAATGAATAGTTTCTGAAAGTATGGTTAAATAACAGGATTTATGTAAAATGTAGTACAGTAAAAATTAGCATGTGTTTGGAAATCCTCAAACTTCAATTTTCTAAAGGCTTAAGTTTTTACTTAGCTTAACTTCAATTTTATATACATTTTTTCTTAGTGGAAGCCAAATGCTTAGATTGAGCTACTGCTAGCATACTTTTGTCATATTTAGACCATCTCCTGACAGCCCATGATACACCCTGAATCTTAGAAGGCTTAAACTCTTCAAGGATCACACATAAGAAACAGCTTGACTAATCAGTTGATAACAATTAGTTCTAGTATTATAAACCAAGTGTAATATGACACCCCTAGGTTATATTATGTAATTGATCTGTTTCCATTGTTTCATCTAACAATAAGAAAGAATAATTTAACCCTTTTTTCCTACCTTCTATGACACAACCTGATGGAAGGATAAGCATGCACCTGCTTTATCTAAACTATAAGAGATGATGATTTAACTCATTCTCTGTCTTCCTTGGCACACCATAATATGCTATAAGCATGCTTGTGCCTGTTAAAATGATGGTGCTCGTCTGCTTGAAACTGAATGAGGCTTCACTTGGTTTTCTACATCTTCTGATTCTGTAAACACAAGCTAACGTGGTAGAAAATGAAGTCTATCATGAAGACTAACTTAGTGTTTAATTTTTCTTAGGATACACATTCTAAACTGAAAATTGTCTGTGAAACATAAATTACTGACTTTAAGTGGAATCAATAAACAGGTGATTAGGTTTGGGTCTCACAGGATTTAGCAGTATCTCCTACCTTGTGGATGTGATGAGTTCTGCTTTGTATTTTAACTCACTTACGAAAGAAATGCTGTAAGAAAGGTTTTAGGAATTGGAAACGTGCACATTGAAGTTCACTAGCTAGACAATTTAAGAAATCAAATGATGTTTTTACAAGTTCTATTGATTCCTACTGAAATAAATTCCAACTCAAAGGTTTCATTTACTACTGTGAATCATATTTTCTAATATTTAGAGTTTGGGGTTTCATAGAGATTTTATATTCTGTACTTTCAGTGTTGTGGTATGCTTTTCAAATGAACAACCAAAAGCAGGGCCTGGTTCTGTTTTTAGTAAGTTGGGAAACAAAATGATATGTTTCCCTCATGATACACAGAGGCTTGTAAACATCAAAATGTGACAATTTTAGCTTTGTGTTTTCTTTCTAAATTTCATGACCACCATGGAATATTTTCTCCTATATGACAATGATAAATAACAGTATGTATTTAAAAAAACATTTTGAAAAGCATTTAATGAACTTTTCACAAATATTTTCTTTAAAAAATTAAATGTTTTAACACAATTTTTAGATTATCTGTTGGTAGATGTTTGTGAGGCACAGAAAAATGAATCTTCACATGGTGTTCCATATATATGGAACTGCATATATAGTAAACTCAGAAGAGAAAACTGGAAGTACAAGGGAGTTTCTCTTTTTCTATTTTTTTTTCTGATTTATTTATTTTTATTCTCTATGTATGAGTGTTTTGCCTGCTTGTGTGTAAGACTATCATGTGTTGTGCACTGCCCAAGGAGACCAGAAGAGGATGTCAGATCCTCTGGAATTGGAGTTAGGGATGGTTGTTACTCTGTGGGTGCTGTGAACTGAACTTGGTACTCTGCAAAAGCAGCCAAGTGCTTTTGACTGCTGAGCCATTTCTCCAGCCTCCAAGGGAATTATTTTTACAAGGAATGGAACTAGACTCACAGCACAAGGAAAAGAATTTAAATTCCCTGAGTGTTGTTTTCTTTGCTTATTTTCAGTATATTTCATCCAAATGGTGTCCTGAAAATTTAAATTTGTTGATTAATTATTTTTTTTATTTTTGCATGTTTATTATTTAAAAAATGTAACTACTAACAGCACTTCACTAGAATATGAAAATTACTGTTACTATATATTGTGATACTTATGGAAACTGATACTCTTTGCTATCTGAATTCAGTTATCTTGATCCTCCATCTGAATCTTGTGAAGAAATTTCTGACAATATTACATATATATCTTCAGATATTGTCAGTAGGGATTTATATGAAGTTTTAAAATTGTTTTTTCATAGTCACTGTAAAAAAACCTGTTTTGACTAAGTTTTAAGTTGTCTGTTTATTCACCATATTAGTGTGCTTATCCATGGGTGTCCATGGTGCATTGGACATAGGAAATTCCATTTTTTTTTTCTTCTTGGAAAATGTTTCTCAGGCCTGTGCTGAAACCTTTCCCCCAATGCCAGATATACCAGTCTCATAGCACTGGTATCCTGTTTAATATGCTTCTCAAATTTTTAATGGGTCTACAGATTTGTGTGTACTCCATTGTGAAAGTTCTATTTTGGAGAGTTTATTTTGGTAGATTCAGCATTTTTTGTTTATATTTTATAATCAATGTGACACTTTTCTTTTCTCATTTTAGAGCAATGAAGTTGTCTACTACAACGCTAAGGATGATCTTGATGTGAGTATTAAAATTTTTTATGTTCAATTCTTTATTGTAATTAAGAATTGGTTTTACCAAGTGAAAGTGAATTGGGTTTGAACAAGTTTAAAGAGAATTTTAAGTAACAAAACCAAAATACTAGTTAGTCAGCAATGTGATGATGCATTTTATGCATACCTGATTTGTGTGGGGTTCCAACTGGCCTTTCTGTGTTAGAAATGGAATGCATTTCTCTAGATCTGAACTAGTGCATCCTGTCTATGCATGTACATTAGAAATGCCATGCATCTCTCTGAATCTGTACTTGCGCATCCTGTCTCTGCTCACAGTGCATTTCAATAACTTAAGGCACGTGCATTACATTTGCAAGACTGAGGACAGATCTCATCACATCTATTTCTGTGTTTTGGCAAATGTCACAAGGTTCATCACAAATCTATGGTGTCTGAACTGTATATACCAGCAGTAACTATTCTTTAAATAACAAGGAGAATGATATCCCCAAACTGTTAGCAAGTAGTCTGCTGATCTGATCTTGAAACTTTGCATTTGTGATGGCTAATATTGATCATCAACTTGATATTTTCTAGAATCATGTACGAGACAAGCCTTTGGGCATATCTGTAAGAATTTTCTAGAATATGTTAACCTCTTGGTAGTCTTAAGACATTATCTAAATTAAGTTAATTGAGGTGAGTGGCAGTGGTCCATGGGCTTAATTCCTGAACTGAATAAAAAAAAAAAAAGAAACTAGTGTTCATATCTGTTTGCTTTCTGACTCTGAACACAATGTGATCATGTTTCAAGCTCCTGCTGATGACTTTCCCACCATGATGGAAGTTCCCTTGAACTGCATGCCTAGATAAACTCTTCCTTAAGTTGTTTTTCTTTTCTTTTGGGTTTGGAGAAAGGGTCTCCCAGTAGCGCCAGCTTGCCTGGACTCATTATGTAGACCAACCTTGCCTAGATCTCACAGAGATATGCCTGCTTCTGACTCCTGAGTGTTGGGATTAAAGTTGTGTGTAACCAAACCCAGATTTAAGTTGTTTTGTCAGGGTGTTTTATTATAGCAATGAAAAAAGAACTATCATAATTATACAATAAGGCCTATGTGAGGGGTGTGTGTGTGTGTGTGTGTTGTGCTGAGAATCAAACCCAGACCCTTGCACTTGCACTCTGTATATAATACTCTTTAAGCAAATGACTTTATTGTGCACTTCGAATTATTTAAGAACATGAGTTAATTTGGGTTAATTAGTTACATGTAATTTTTCTACTTTTTCATAAATATTGAGAAAGCATTTTATTTAATTTTGATGAAGCCATTGAAAATTTAAAGTTAATATTTAAAGTTAATTTAAAAACATATTTCTTTGCATTAGAAAAATATTTATGTACAATTACTTATCCAAAAATATATTCAATGATTTTTCTTTACTTCATTTACTCTTGAGTACTGGAATATATTATTAAACAAAATGAATGATTTTAATTAAGTCATTGTCATAAAAATGGTTTTATTTGAATAAAAACTATTCACACACTATTGTATAGGAAAAGTAACAAAAATGCCAAAATAGTAGAGCTTATTTTTCTAAGCAGTTTAAAAGCATCATAAATATGTTTTCCCGAAATACCACAACTCCCAGGCTATATGCCATGTCTATGAGTTTTTACAAATACCGTACTTTAATACAATTTATCTGGTTTCTTAATTCTCATAATAAGACTACGAAAGAGGTTTTTTTTTTCTTTTCATATATGGAGAACTAAGTTTTTTTTAAAAAGTATTGTCTTTCCTGTAGATTTGTGATCTCTTTCCTCTTACAAAGAGTATATGCATGATTTTAATGAAGAAGGTTATTAAGAAAATAATGTGTTCACTTAAACATATGCAGATTCAGTATCAATTTTTCTGGTAGTACACTGATCATATCTTTTCCTAAACATTTAATTTTTTAAGTTATGACACTTATTTTACAATATCTAATCCTCTAGAATGTGTTACCCTATGATAATAATTTTAAATAAGGCAAATACATCTTTTTCTCAATTTATACAAGGAATTGCATTTTATGTTAAATGGAACAGTTTACCATTGTGATTGAAAGTGGGCTAGGTACTTACTAAAAGTCAGATGTTAGACTTTTTGCTCATTATGAGTTTGATGTTCGACTTTTAGCTCATTATGAGTAAAGCATGCACAGTCAATATATTTGGCGTACTAGAACCAGGATCTTTGTTTTCTTCAATATTATATATTATACCCTTATGTATACATATACAGGATTTTAAAATATATATTTTATTTATTATTTTTATTTTGTGTGTATGAGTGTATAGCCTGCATGTTTGTAAGTGCATCCGTGTCAAGCAATGCCTCTGGAAGTCAGAAGCAGGCATCAGATCCCCTGAAACTGGAGTTATGGATGATTGCTAGCTGTCATGTGGGTTCTGGGAATCAAATACAGGTCCTCTGCAAGAGCAACCAGTGTCCTTAATGCTGAGCCATCTCTCCAGTCCCCAGAATTTTTAAAGAAATATTGAAATACAACTCTGTTTTAAAGAAAAGAAGCCATAGAGGTGAAGGTCTGAATGTGCTTCATGTTTTGTCTTTCTCCATCCAAAAAGACACAGTGAATAATGACAGTGTGAGTTAAAATTATGTGTATGAAAATGATCCATTCTCTTTATTAGGCATAATGCAGAATTTAACAGAGTAAATGAAAACCTTATGGATATCAAAATACAAACCTTTGAATTTAAAGCCTAACAATTATTGTAAGCCTATGGAGACAAGACTGTCCATTTCTTTACATGCACATAAGTACACCGATAGAAAACTTGGCAAAGAATGTTGTGTAGTAGGATTATTAGGATAGGATTCAGAGACCCTGTTATGTCCCAGCCCAGTGGCAAAAAACTGTAGCTACATATAAGGCATTAAAACCTGTTAAAATTCCAGAAGTTGAGCTGGAGAACTGACCTTTGTGGTAAAGTGCTTACTACCTGAGCATGAGAACTTCAGTTCTGATCCAGCACTACTGTAATCCCAGCACTGGGAATGGAGACAAATCTTTGAGTCTTGCTGGCCAGCCAATATAGCCAATCAGCGAGCTCCAGGTTCAATGAGCAACCTTGTGTGTGGAGAGTGCGTGAGGAAGACGCCTGACATCAACCTCTGCCCTCCACAAGTTCATAAAGCACAGCCCTTCACACACATAGCACCTCTCCACAAAATTCAAAAATTATTTTTTCATTCAAAACATGATATAATTGACTAAGTAATGCTTAATGTTCATTCCAGTTTTCATTTGGATTCTAATGAGACTATAGATGACTGTACATGGCATATGTAAATACTATGGTCATATAACAGAATTTAATAATTAAAAGGAAGAAGAAAAGATATTTGTGAAACTCTTACCCTGTTTTGAACATACTGCCTTTTTGAATTTTTTTTTTTTTTTACTGTTGTGGTACCTGGCACAATTTTTTTTTATTAGCTTTTCAGTCATCATCTGGAAAGTAAACATTCTGAGTAACATCATTAAAAACAGCTCTGATAAAGCATGGTCACTACTCTGCATTACAAAGCAGGTAGAAAATATTTTACATTCACAGAGATATGATACAGCACGGTCCTACATCTATCATGCTTCTTTAGCTAACTAAAAGTTACATGTCCTGTTTCTATCTTTTTATATCTTAATTTTTATTGTACTCTTAAAGTTTTGTGTATAACTGCCAAACCGGCATGACTGCTGATTCTTTTTCCTGTGTAAAAGCTTACTGAATATTTCATTAAATAATTTGGTGGACAGACACAAATCCCAGAGTCAGACTCTGCGCCCCTGATCTAACCTCCCAGAGTCAGGCCCTAACAAGGCGACCTCCCCCGCACAGCCTCTTTTTAATTACAAGTTTATTGAATTTTTTCAAAGCTTTTCTCATCAACATGCCCCCCCCTTTATTAAGCATCAGGCCAAATTTAATGATGTGAAAAGGGAAGTAAAATATTTGTTCAGCATACATTTTTAATTACTCTCGTTATTCTTTTGTATTTTGGTTTTGTGAGTTGGGCTCTTTTTATGTAACTTGTGTTTGCTTACAATTGGACACCATTCAAACCTCAACTTCTCAGTGACTAGAGTTAGTTATGTGCCTCCATGACTAGCTTCATTGAGATGACCAATTTATTAAGTAGTGTAATTATTTACTATATGGTTAAATAATTGTAGGATCACAGATTTGAGTTGATAGAACACAATTCAGTGAATTCTTCTACTGTGAAAAGTAAATTTACCCTTGTGAACATTTAAATGTAGAACAATGCAATAAATGTCTTTGCTCCTTAACATTGTTTTCTCCAAACTTTTGACTTTATTTATAGGATAGATCCCCAGAATTAGATTAAAGGTTTAGGATATTCTAATGTATATTGTAAAACCATTTATAAAAAGTAATAAACCAAATTTTACTGCTATCATTAATTTATAAAGTATTTATTTTTTGAAACAATGCTTGACATTATATTTAAAGAAAATTTAGCACATTAAAATTAATTTTCCATTGCTTTTATTATTTTCCTTTGTTAGTATTTGCCCTCTGCCTAGTGGAAGCATATTGTTCAAAATCCCATTTTTGTCATCAGCTTTTTTGTGACCTTGTAGAAATTCTCTAACGTAAGTGAGGCTCAATTTATCCGCAAAGTACAATCTTGATATCAATATACATTTCCTAATACTTGAAGAATTTATACTTTACACACATAAACTTGACTAACAGTTGCCTGACATATATGTGTTATTAACTTTCTGTTGGACTGTATTAGTGAACCTAAATACTTTTAGAAAAATGAAAATTTTATAATAAATAATATTGGTTTGTTTGTTGTTAAGATATTTTAAATGGTATTTCTATTAATGTTTTGTTGTTGTTATTTTGTTATTTGTTGTTGTTGCCTGTTGCTTTTTTTTTTTTCTTTGTTTTTTTTTTTTTGAGATAGTGTCTCCCTG